AGAGAGAGAGAGAGAGAGAGAGAGAGAGAGAGAGAGAGAGAGAGAGAGAGAGAGAGAGAGCTTGGCGGCCATAGCCGCATGTACTTTGCATTCGAAGAGTTGCAACAATTTTGTAATTTGGGAATAGTATCTTCGTGTTTCGGCTGATTTCTATCTCATTGCTTTGCTGTTCAGTGTTGGGTGGACTAGGTGACTTGCATGATTTTAATTGAGAGCCGGAATTGAGTCGGATCATTGCACAAGGCTTTTTGTGTAAAAGTGTGACCTTCCGTACCTCTTCTTTCTCCCATCTCTTTCTGATGATTTCTGTGAGGTGTTGCTTTTTGCTCAGGGGGTTATAGCCAAGGGGAGGAGGGTGGTACATCAATCTGTGATGTTTTCCTATTCTGGCGGATTGATGGCTGTGTCTTCCATGACCATTTTGCTGGATCTATTTTTGGCCAACGAATTGCTAATTTGGGTGAGGAGAGGGGTCTATCAGTCTGTGATGTTTTCCTATTCTAGAGCTTGATGGTTGTGTCTTCCGTCACCATTTCGCTGGATCTATTTTTGGCCGACGGATTGCTAATTTGGGTCTGTAGACTCTGTACGTATGTTCCCGCCCCCCCCCCTTCTTGTAATCTGATCCTGCTCAGGTTGGTTGATTTGATGGCTACTTCTGCTCTATCTTTCTTGGCTACGCTGGTTCTCCTGTGGTTCTTCCGTCCTCCACTCATGGGTATATCAAACACAGGATAGATTTCCTGCTTGCCTTGAAAGGTTGTATTATGTTAAACCACCAGTACTTTGTCCAGCCATTTTTCTCCAATGCGGCTGTTAACGCGCTGCAAGTTTTGTGGGTAGGCCTACTGGAGCAAAAATGGGCTGCCGGGGCCAGACAAAAGGAGGTCTGCGCTGGTTCGGTTTTTTTGGGCGCGCAGCTCGTTTCCAGTCTCAGCAAGGGAAGGGTCAAAAGTACCGGGGGTTTAAGGACCTCTACTGTTTCTGTCTTTTCTAGCTACCAAATCTTCCCACTGTCATTTAAGAGGTCTTATAACAGCAGACACAAGCCCCTGATGAGGTCGGGTTTGGATCCGACGGAAACGTGCGTCGTGAAACGCCATCATGTGCTGAACTGCTTCTCTGTCGTTGGATTTTTTTTTTTTTGAGTATTATTTTTTAATGACCGGATGGACCACGAATCAGATATTGAACTGATCAGAAGATTCAGAACAGAGTACTGCTCGTGATCTATTTTTAGCCAAATGGCCGAGAAAGGTATTATCCCCACATTTTAACGAGTCTGGTACTTGTTTTTTTTTGTATCGAGTGGCTCTTGTGCGTCTTCACGAGTCCAGTGGTTCTCTTTGCATCATTCATGTGTCCAGTCTTGGTTTCTTGACGAGTCTGTGCTTTGTCGGACATTCTTTGCTGTCTGAGCTGGCAGATATGGATAAATCTAGACTCCCAGCTCGCTCCCTTTACTCTTTTGAGCCACATTTCTTCGCAGAGCCTTGCTCGAGCAGAAAGTGATTCATACATTCTGTAAGACTGTATCTATGGGCCTTTCTCCACTACTCAACACATGCACAAAAGACAAAAGGATGGTGGTGTATCTTTCCATGTCCTAGCAGAAGATTCATGCACATTTTGCCCATTTGGTGAGTAGTGGAGAGAGGCCCTATCACCACCATTATGCAATCTCCCTACTGCCATTCTTTTTTTTCTTTTCTTTTTTTGCCATTCTTGCAGTTGTTTTAACAGTTCTTCTCCATTTTTTTATTTTATTTTAACTAAGCTATATTCTTCTCTCAATTTCACCTTTCACTGTATAACTACCACTACTCCTAAGCCTATGCAGGGGACCCCTGCAAGCATGGCTAACCCTGGTGCCTGTCACTACTGTTCGGTCCATGTTCCCCTCGATACTCGTAGGGTAGTGGTCCTGAGTGCTGTTCACACTGAGGTAGGATAGTAGAGATAGGGGGTGCACTAGGAGTAATGACGTGAGGATGGGATGGGAGGTAGCCGCGTTCCCTCAGGACAACCATGGCTCAGGGCGATCAATGTGTGCCTAGTAACTGGCCTCCACAACACCCTGGGCTTTTTTACCTTTCTTTCTCCCTTACTAAAAAAAAAAAAAAAAAGCGTAGCTACCTCTCACAATGAAGGGGATGCATGTTGCCCACTGCCCTAATCGGTAGGGTGGGGCCGCCTCTGGGGGGGGCGCCGGCTAACGCGAAATCCGAGCATTTTGCCAGCAGCTGCACCTCCCATCTACTTCCCCCACCCTCTATCGAGTAGCAACCAACACTCTCCCACGCACCACACACAAACCACTCACGCTCACACTCACACCCGTGTTGGTCATCGACCCTACTAATACCAATCAGGGGTCTCAAGCGGTGACAGCAGGTGTTCCTGGGGCTCAAATCCACAACCTCCTGAATGCCACTTGCGTGCCTAACGAACTGAGCTAGGCCGCTGGATTGTTTTTCTCCATTCCAAAGGGAGCCCTTTTGTTTTTCTGATAAAAATGATGACCTTATGGGCCCAGCTTTATGTCCTTTTTGTTTGTTTGTTTGTTTTTGTCTTCTCCTTATTGGCAGACAGCTATATATATTTTCTTTCACCTCACATATTTTAACTGGCGTTCTTCCATGTCATGGAACATATCTTTTCCTTTCACGACCTACCACTACTCCTAAGGCTATACAGGGGACCCGTGCAAG